CAAATGATCTCAATTTCTTCCCACTAAATAGAAAACCAAAAATATTTTCATATACTTCAAATTGTTCAAATCTATTTTGAAGTGAAAAGATGGCTTGGTCTACTATGTATAAGAAGTAATCAACTCTAAATGATTCGGGCTGCTGCAATATATTTTTCTCCAAATTTAAAATATAAATTATCAATAGAACAAGTAAATTCTTAAGCTTTGAATAAGAAAGATGTAAAATTAGAATTTAGAGAAGAGAAGTGAGAATAAATAGAAGAGCGGAAGGGAGGACGATAGAATATATAAAAATATTAGAAAAAAAAAAAACTTGTACATTAAGAAAAAAGCACACAACTTTTTATTGGAAAGTTAAAAAGTCATAGTCATAACTCATATATATCACTTCAGCCGTCTGCATTTTTTTCCCAACCGTTTACATTTTTTTTCCAGCCGTTTGCATTTATTATTGTCTTCATTTTAATTTTTTTTTTTAATTTAATCTTACCTAATTAACTAAAAAATGGGGGCCCCTAAAATTGGGGGCCTAAGGCCAAGGACTTTTCCTTAAGCCTAACCAGCCGCCCCTGAGGTATATTCATAAATGAACTGTTACTTTTGAGCTAGAGTTAGCTTGGAGTTTTAGTTACAATCACTTAGAGCTGATAGTATAGATTGTTAAGTGTCTTAGATTTAGGCCCTTATGTTATTCCTTCTTTAACCTAAAATTACTCATTGTTTTAGTGTAGTTTCGAGAAAGAAAGCCTCAAGAAGGATTGTGATTTTATTTCTTGAGCAAGAAGGTTTATCAGGTAAGAAATTCATGTGTTACTTATTTTCACACATTACAAGCTATGAGAGTTAACCGAACTGGTACAAAGAACATGTTTTTTATACTTAAAGTTCAACAAAACGGGTATTTTTATAGGTAAAATACAATTGGTCAAAACACCACCTATTGTACTCATTTAAACCATCTTAAAAATAATCATTTTGAATAACTTGCCATGACTATATTGGATTGTTTGGTACCCATGATAAAGGGAAATGTTTCAAGGTTAAATTTGAAATAAAATTTTGTATTATGTTTTTTTGATAGTATTAATTTGTCTCAAGATAAATTTGTTCAAACATAATATAAAATTTATCTCAAATTTAATTTTGGATATCTATTTTGTCCCAATAAGCTTGGTGTGGAATAAATTAATTAATTTAAAAATTATAATCTCATAACTATAATTCCGAAATAATTTAATCCGCAAACCAAATGAATCACACTATTCACGAGATTTCAATAAGAAAGCTGGTACATGAATCACCTATAAGGTGTGTGGTATGAAGGGAACATATGGAAAATGTGAAGAATAAATGAGTTTCTTATTTATTTTATAGTGTTTGGTAAGTAAATAAAATAATATCATCCAAGAGCTAGCATATATATGTAATCTAACAACACTCTATGATGGTGTGGAATGATTAAGGGGTAGAGGGCATTGAGTGGGTGAAGATGAGACAATGAATTCGAAACGTCGTTTATGGAACTTGTTTTTCCTATTTTCTTTGGGAAATCTATTTTCCTCATTTTTAAGAAACTTATTTTACTAAAAAAAGATGTTTTACAAAATATTATGACCAATAAATATGAGAAAATTGTAAAACATTTCCTGTCCTCCCAAACTAATTTTGCCAAGGAAAAGCATAACAACGGACTCCTTTCAATTATTTGGAAATGATGAATATGGTGGATAAGTTTTTTGTATCGCATAACATATGCTTTCTCATGTTCATTTATGTGTGCTTAGAAGAAAATCAAATATGAGTAGTTAATTTTAGTAAATTATGGGCGAACTATAATTATTATCTTTTAATACGTTCATCCCGTTAACTTCAATTCATCCAAAATAATATTATACACAACATTAATGATAGTTCGCCTATTCTTTTTATTAACTCATATGCTCCATTTTCATACTCATTCAAGTATTAAGGTAGAGTTTTTGGCTAAAAACATCCTTAAACTATACCCTCAACTTAAACTATATCCTTCAATTATTTTTCTTAACAAAAAACATCCTTCAAGTATTTAAAACTTAAAAACTTTCATCCCTCTATTAAAATTTGTCAAAAAATTAGCGAATTCCACACAAAAAAATATGCAATTCATGCTATTCTCATAAAAGAAAATCTATAATTTTATTACTTGTTGGAAAAAGCTTCCAAAAAATAATTTTTTTTTCTTGTTTGCTGGTAAAAAAAAACAATGTTAGGACAGTGTAAGTCTACGAGTAGACATGATTTGCTCTTCTCCTTTACCAACTGAATGGAGTTGGAGCTTAATTTTACACCATCTTCACCTTATAAAGTCAAAATGTCGTTAGATCAATAATTTTTTGGAGCAAACTGATAGTTGAGGTAATCAAGATTCAACTAATTTTGATCTCTAGTACTCGAGTTTCATTTTCCATTATTAGAAGTAAAAGTCTCTGATCGACACCATTTTTTGCAAATTCAATGAGAAGAAAACATTTCAACGGATATTTTTTGATATCAAATCAAATGAAAAGTAAATAAAAATAATATTGCCAATTAAAAGG